ACTCCCAGAATTCCCCAGCCAGCATTCGCTGGCTGGGGAATTCTGGGAGTTGAAGTCCAGACATCTTCAAGTAGCCAAGGTTGAGAAACACTGATATAGGCGAAAGAGGACAAGGCATGAACCTTCTCTTGAATGCCGGTGAACCTTATCTAGTCTTGCCCAGGTGCAAACTGCCAGGCATTGAGCAATAAAGTAGGTCATTTGAACACTTCACATATGGGACTGGTTTTCCTTATCTGAAAGGAATTAGCTAAATAAAGTGTTGCTGAAGAGACTCATCCTGTCTTCTTGAAAGAAAGAAAAAAAAAGGTCATTCAACATATTGCTCAAGCTGATGTCCACTTACAAAAGAGATGGCTTTTGTAATTGGCTTCAGATGACCAAAAAGAAGTGTTCAAATTTCCTTCTTATTGCTCTGGCCGCTTGATTGTTGGGGATCTCGGACTGGAAATGGACTTTGCTTGCATTTTGACAATCTTGAGATTTGTGTCGCCAGGCTCTTTTTCCAAAGTAAGCTTTGAGTTTTAGTATGCTTCATTGTAAGATATACTACTGCAATAAATATCTTGAGTTTATTATCGGAAGCTGGTGTGTAGCTTGGCAGCCTAGAATGTTACAAGAGTAACTTCCAAAAATTGTTTATGATGGATAGAGTAGAGAGGGAGGCCAGAGTAATGGTATAAAGGGTGGCCTTGAAGGGCAGAAGGAAGCTCCATCACCAAGACAACAATCAGATAAACGAGGCTTGAGCCCAGACAAATAAAATGCCTTGTGAAAATGCCTTATGATCAAAATTCAGATCATGGGACCATCAATTCAAGTCAAACCTTTATTGTACAATGCGATTGGCTGAGCCTCCCTTTGTGAACCCTCCCCCCACAACACAATACACCTCACAGTGAAACACAAATTCCTAGCCCAGTTAATCTGACTAACAAACACCCAGTCCTATTGCACTATGTGAACTTATTGCAAGTTGTGCCCTATGTTGTTGTAGAGTTATTTTTTAATTCAGGAGCCTGACAGCCCACGCATAAAAACTCTTCTTCAGGCTGTTTGTGCATCTCCCTATGCTTCTACATCTCCTTCCAGGTGGCAGGAGAATAAAGACGAGCAGACCAGGGTGTGAGTCGTCCCTGGGGATTTTCCTCACTCTTCTAAGGCAGCGAGCCCTAGCAATGTCATCTAGTGGTATCAAGGGACAGCCCACGATGTTTGTAGTGTCTTTCTATCCGCGGCTGTCAAGCCAGCATACCACACCGTAACACAGTGAGGGAGGACGCTGTCTATTGTGGGCCAGTAAAAGGAGGTTATCGGTTGTTGTTCCACTTTATTTTTTGTGCAAGACCCTGAGGAAGTGGAGTCTCTCTTGGGCCTTTCTGGCCACCTGGGTCATGTTGATTTTTCAGGTGAGGTCTCCGTTGCTGTAGACCATGGGGATGTTGCAACAGTCACAACTGCAAGAACTATTCATAAGTTGCTTTTTTCAACGCTGCTATAATTTCAAATGCTCACTAAACAAATAGTTGTAAATCAAGGACTACCTCTATTCTGCTTATCCCGTATAGTATTTTAGAGGCTTTTAGGTGAATTGCATTTCTGTTTTTTTGCTGCAGGTGCCACAAAGATAGTTCCTGTGGAAGCAGCTTCTCCCCAAGATGAGCAGCCCGTCAACTCAGAAACCTCCGTGTCGGACACATCTCAGCGAAGAGGTTATCAGGAATATGCCATTCAGCAAACTCCTTATGAGCAACCAATGAAATCAAGCAGGTAATCTCCATTTACAAATCTTAAGCACAGGGTAGCCTTCTGGGCTGAAACATTCTCTAACTTAAA